CCCCTCCCACCGCCACTCCCACTCCCCTTGGCACTGGCACTGAAAATCTTATAATTAAAGCGAATCTAGTTTTCTAATTTGGTTGCTGGCTGTTGCTTGTGGCCCTGTTACGTTTGGAGTCATGCAACGGAGTGGTACACTCCCCTCCCCTTTTGGCCATCCTGCGGTCATCCATCTTGCCAGCTTTGTTGTTGCTGGCTGTGGGCCTTAGTTAATCTGCAGCGCATCAGCAATTAGCGGAAACTCGTCATAAAAAATCCGAAAAGAGCGGAGAACCAGCAACAGTCAACAAGCGGCCAGCGCACAAAATCGGATAAAGCGCCGACAGCAAAAAAGAGTCTAAAATAAAAAAAAAGTTTTGCCTAAACTTTGGTCTTGTTGTTGCTAGGTTTGTTGTTCGAAACTCGTTCGCGGGTCTCAAAAAGATTTATTTTGTTTTACTTTATATTTGTCTGTCGTTTTTCAGTTTGTCGTTTTTGTTGCCTTTTTTTAACTGATTGTGAGACAAAAATTTCTGTTGAATCGGAATTAGGACACACACATGAAGTGAAGCTTCAAAATGTAGCAACAATTTTAGTTTTTTTTCTTTTGGCCATGTTGTTGTTGTTGTTGACGCAGCTGTGCGCCATTTGACGACGTTTCGCCGTTGCTGTTGCCTGGCCTGCCCCGCCCACCCGACCCCGCCCCCTGCCGCATATATCATTTTATTATGGCTTTGAGTCCGGACACCTTTTCTTCTTTTTCGATTTTTTTTTGGCCATTTCTGAGGAGAATCTCGACTTTTTTTCTTTTTGGAAATTCAAAGGAGAGCCATAAAGTTCGTTGCCTAAGTCTTTTGATTTGGGATCAAAATAAAAGTTTGCAAATGGACAATGAACAGCTAGAAGATTCAATAAATGGGGTTTTTAGAATAGTATTATTGGTAGCTAAGGCAGGATAACTTAAAATTTTAATAATGATCAGATTTTTAAAATAATAAGTAAAAGGTGAGTAATACTGGGATGCTCTGGTGTTTACTTTACTTTTGGTTCAGATTCAACGGTTGAGAAATGTTTCTTGGAAGGAATAAACCTTTTTCGTAAACTATCACACCAAAAATAAATACTTAACCATTTTAAGCTTTTTTTCTTAAGCTTAATAATATAAATAATAAAATATTGCTTTGTGTTTAGAAATGATATAGGTTTTGAGAAAAGTAAGACCCTTGAACAAGAATATTGAAGAAAATTATTAACTTTTGGAATAAAAAGTTACCCTACTTACTTTATTTCGTTTGTTTAAATATTAAAAATAATTTGTATATAATTTAAAAATCAAACAGGGGATTTCTAATAAGGTAATGAAAGGACTAGAATATTTAGGAATAAATAAAGCCATATAAAATATGAACAATCTTTATAAACAATTAACTTTGACAATGACAAAAATAAGTAAATAAATAAATAACTATTAATAAATAACAAATAATTTTAATAACGATAAACCCATAAAGCCCAAAACGCTGCAAGTATAAGGATGAGATCATCTTGGTTATTCGTTAGCCGATTGTGCATAGATCCAGCTTCCAGGCCCTCATCCTGTATGTATCTTTAGTTTCTAAATGTATCTGGCCATTTTCCAAGCGGCGTAATTTAGGTTCTAGACCAACTAAGCAGACGGACAGACGGACTGAGGTCTTGGCCAGCGTCGGCGGCAGATGCTCAAGACAATAATGAGCGGGACGATGATGATGATGCGACCGCCATGCTATCCTGTCATCTTGCCTCTACACAACTTGTTGTGTGTGTTGTTGTTGCCGTTTGGCATTGAATTTTGGAAATCAAATATCTAACGCCATAACTCGGGGGTAGGTTTTTATTTTACTTTTTTTTCTAGCTATTAGTGAGCCAGAAGAGGTTAGCAACAACAGCCAAGATGCCAGTAACTCAACGAGCATGCGAGTGTGCGAGTGTGTGTGTGGACAACACAATAAGCATTTCAGGATGCTGTCAGATGTTTGGTAATTAAAAAAGAAGAAGAGCACAGCACTCTGGGAAAGTAATGGGAAAGAAATTTTCTTATTCTCGAAACGAAAGTCAAATGATTAAAAAAGGAAAAACAACAACAAAAAAAAAATGAAAACAAGAATAAGAGAAAATTTTACAGTTTTGGAAAAGGGAGGGGGGATGTCATTTCATCAAGGGCTTTGATAATTTCCATTTTTTGTGTCCCTCTCGCCGTCGACCTAATTTGATTGAGTTTCTGTGTTGGATGTCAATTGGGATGACAGCTCTAATTTAACCTTTTTCATGCAGAGACCCGACTAAAGGCCCTGAAATGGGGCAAAAGGATTTCTGATGCATATAGATGACAGGTATACATATAATCCTTTTTTATTTAGGAATACCTATTTACTGACAATTAGATTTAGTTTTTTTGCTTTGAAACTAAAATAGTACTTTAAAGAAATTCAAAGTAAGACAGAGCTTCCATAATATCGGCTGAATAATACCAGGTACATTTCTACTCTGCTCGTTAGCCCACTTTCCTTATATATCTATGGTATTATCTTTAAACTACTAAAGTGAACAAAAAAGGACAGATTTAGGCATAATTTTGTTCTTCCAAAAAGGTGTATATTTTTGGAAACTAGTAGTCAATCGACTATGGGAGTTACTTGTTGGAAAAAATCATAACTATTACTTTCAAACATAATAAATACGATTACGACTTATTGCACAAGTTTTTTATAAATTGTTTATCCCAATTCAACCCATTTATTATTGTCTTTAGAAAACATTAACCCCAAAGATCTATAAACCCAGCATTAATTTAATTTAAACCCATCCTGTTTGTTGAAATAAATTTCCCATCCATATGTCCTTGTCAGAAATGATTGCAAGCCACAGCATAGAACTCTCAAGAACTATATGTAGATGCCAAAGAATAGATATCCAGGTTCTCATAATTTCTCCTTTTTTTTGCCGAATATCTCAAGGGATGTTTGGTGAAAAGCCTGAGAATCACAAATAAATAATGCAAGAAAAATGAAAAAAATGAACAGTTAGGCAGGAGGAACCGAATCTCGAACGGAAAGCAAACACCAACAACAAAGAATCGAGGAAGTGAGCAAATCACACATGTTCCAGATCTTCCTTTGAAGGGAGAAGAGGGCGGAGGATGGCGGGTAGGGGTTAGGGGGTAGGGGTGTTCTTTAAGATTTAGGAAGAAGACTGCAGAATTTGCACATCGATCACCTAAGAAATGGATGCTTTCGTTTGTTTTTGGGATGTTGTGATCCTCTATATACTTTCTTTTGTTGTCCATCTGCTGTTTCCTAGCTCCTTCTTCTTCTTTCTATCTCTTTCTCTCCCCCTTCCCCCGTCTCTATCTTCTTTTAAACAAAGACACAAAAGCCTGACAAGGCAAAGCTATTGTGTATTGTGCAGAGAAGTTCTTCAGTTCTCCAGTCTATATTATTATTTTATTTTATATATTATTTTGTGGCAGGAAGATTTTTTAGTTGTTTTTGTTCCCAAGTATCTGAGTGTGTGTATCTGTGAGTATCTTTGTATCTGGATCTGTGTGTGCAACTATGAATCATGGTAAGAGCTAACGCTGTCGTTCGAGGAGGAAGAATGGCTCGAGAACCGAAATGAATAAAGAAGCGAAGAGGGAATCAGAGATCAGAACATAAAGAACACATTTCAAGGATTACGAGAGCGGGACAGACTGATCGACCCCTACTGTCTTTCCTTGGTATCTACAAGATACACACATGCACACATCCGAAAAATTTAGGTAGACAATTTCTACCTGGACAAACGATCAAAATCTCAGCCGAAAGACAAGAGGAAAAAAAACATAAATGTACAAGAAACGAAAACGAAATAAAGCCGAGATAGAAACGGCAAAAGAGAGATAGAATGAGACAGAGACGGAGAGGGAGAGGGAGAGAGATGGGAGGGCAACATCTTGCCGAAAAATTAAAATTACAGATGGTTTGTTGCTGGATGAGCATATGTACAGGAAACCAGTTTTTATGTTCAACAAACACACAAAAAAAAAACTCCAAGAAAACGCACGGCGGCCGCAAGAATCGCGCGCCAGCAGAAGACAGAGGCACGGATACGTAGATACGAGGCTACATAAATACATAGATACAAATGCAGACACAGATACAGCAGGAGACGTCTTCATGATGACTTATAGCCTGGTTTCTATGCTGAAGTAACTAGGAGTTGGTTTAGTTGGATCTTAGTCTAGTCCTTGGCAACCGAAACCCCCTTCGGACCAAGGCTATCTGAGGATCGCACAATGGACCCTTTATCCAGCGCAGATCCCTGACTGGCTCAGGGGAGGACGTCGCACAAAGATGTCCTTCAGCAGGGCATATCTCTTTATCTACACATGTCGTTTGCTTGTCTTTCTCCTCTGGCCGTCTCTTCCACTCCTTCTGCTTTGCTGCGTTTCTTCGCAAAAAAATGTCCAAAAGAAATCTCTATCTCGCAAAGAATTCCGTACAAATGAAACGGAAAACACGGCAGAGACACAGAGACACAAAGAGAGTAAGAAGAAAGAAAAGGAATAAAAGGCGAGGAGAAACCAGAGGAGAAAAGGAAATATTAAAGACACGCACGTAGTTTCTTCGGAACTAGCAGCCACAACAACGAAATTCTACAAAAATAATTAAGGAAAAAAATAAACACGAAGAAGCAAAAACATTTATTTTAAATTTTATGACATATGGTGCGAGGTTCGAACTCTTTCTGAAAAAAAGAAAAAAGCTGAAAACTGAAAACTGAAAACTGAAAGAATAAAATAATGAGGAAATAAAAACAAAGACTTTTCAATTTAATTTTCAATTTTTTTATGTAATTTCTTTTTTGTGGCTTGTGGTTGGCATTTAATATTTGTCCGGTTGTAAAAAAAATACTTAGAAGGCGTGCCGAATTAAGCATTAAATTGGTTAACAATTAAAAGTAGGAAAAAAAAAATAATAATTACAAACAAGGGTGGTGGTGGGCGAAAATGAAGATTAAATAATTACAATTGGTTTTATTTGTGTGGAACATAAGTTAGGGACAACTAAACTAAGGATATATATCATAGAGCATATATATTATATGGTATTCGTGCATGTGTGGGGAGTGTGTGTCTGGTTTCTTAAAATAATAATATCCCTGATTTAGCTTTTTGTTTAAGTTTTCGTATCCTTTGCTCTGTAATTTGGCGTTTTTAAGGCTAACACATATATGATCGAGGTTAGTAATATATATATATGCATATGTGCGTTCTAGTAACTAGAGTTGGTATATATATCCGTATATATATATCGATTGGCATTTAGTTGCTGCTTTTTAGTTCACATATCGTGTATATGGCATTTGTTGTCGATACAAAAATATAATAACTAACGATCTAATAACTAATGGGCTTTAAAAAAAAATCATCAAGCTAGGCGGTAACATATATATAATATATAGAGTGGAATATGTACGTGGTGTGCGATCGCCCTGATGTAAGCGTTTCTTTTGTTGCTGAGGTATACTTGGAGGTGTTACACATTTAGGACTAAGCGTACAGGCTATGGTTACAGGGTTATACATTACAAAATAATAATACAACTGTTAACGTACAAAATAAAATTAAATAATTTTCTGCTACAACAATTAGGAATTCTTCTGTGTGTGTGTGTGTGTGTGTGTTTGTCAAATCTCTGGCGCCTCCCCCCTCTATGGCCCGACAGGAATGATCGGATGTGTGGAGGTCCGGGCCTAATGGGCCCAAGGAGTGCCCGTCCAAGTGATCGAAATGCTGCGGCTTTTTGTGTTTTTGGCAATCAAGTTGGGGAAAAAACAGCGAGTTATTGCCTGCCAAGCAACAAAGCGTGTTTTCTTAATTCGTTCCTCAATCAAAAATAATATATAACGGTCATTAAAGCAAGTAATTAAATGTCAGCTGGCGGAGAACCCTAAATCAAGAGCCAGACTAAGCCGATCCAGGACAACCACCATCCAACTGCAGCGCTGCCCGAGCTGCGTCTTGCAACGCGGGCAGGACTCAGTTGCCCCTCCCCCAGTCGCTCCCAAAAGCCAGGAAGCATTTCAACACCGTGTCCGGACTGCCCCCTAGTACATCTCTATGGTCTGGTACTCCTCCTCGATAAACTCCTGCTTGATCATCAGATCGTCGTCCAACTCCTCGTCCTCCTCCTCATCCTCCTCCTCTATCATCTTCATCTCCATCGCGTCCTCCTCGTCCTCCAACAGGCTGTCGTCGTCGGCGGCCACATCGTCGATGGGCCGCTTCAGACTCTGGCGGGGATTGGACGCGGAGGCCATGACAGTGGGCGAGGCAGCCGCCGATGTGACGGTCAGCGCGCGGGCGAATGCCGCCTTGATGGTGCCGGGAGCTGCTCCCGCCACCGTCGAGGTGATGTTCCCCCCTGCGGCGGCAGTTGCTGCTGAAGTGGCTGTTGCTGCCGCCGCAGCTGCTGCGGCTGCGGCTGCTGCGGCCGCCGACTTCTTGCCCACCACCCGTGGACGGTTGTGGGTCTCGAGGTGCTTGCGCAGGTGGTCCTTGCGGCAGAAGCCCTTCTCGCAGATGTCGCACATGTGCTGCTTGAGGCCCGTGTGGATGGCCTCCACGTGCCGCCGCAGGTCGGTCTTGTGGTGGAACTGCTTGGGGCACTGGTCGCACTTGTGCGGCTTGTCCTGGGTGCGGTGGCGCCCCAGGTGTGTCGTGTATACGTCTTCGCTTTGGAAGCGCTTGCCGCACTTCTGGCAGCGGAACGGGTACTCACCGGAGTGGAAGCTCTTGTTGTGCTGCGTGAGGTAGCAGTTCTTGGTGAACTCCTTGTCGCACTCCAGACACTTGATCCTGCCCGACGGCAGCGTGGTCGAGTGCGGCGAGGTGGAGCCCACGCTGCTGTTGCGCCGACGCTTGGTGGTCGTTGTCGATGGTGTGGCGCCTCCTCGTCGCTTCTTCGCCGGCGGCTGGGCCAGGATCTGATGTTGTTGTTGTTGTTGTTGCTGCTGCTGCTGCTCCAGTTGCTGCTGCTGCTGGTGATGCTGCTGCTCGAGATGCTGCTGATGCTCCAGTTGCTGCTGCTCCAGTTGCTGCTGGTGCTCCAGCTGCTGCTGCGTCTGCTGCATCTGCTCCAGCTGCTGCTGGTGATGGAGCTGGTACGGATCCAGTTGCGGATCCATCTGCTGGTGGTGTATCAGCGTGGCCAGACCGTGGTCCAGCTCCAGGGCGGGGGTGGCCCGCGAGCTGCTCACCGTGGGCGAGTAGGGAGTGGCCAGCACGGTGAGCGTCGGGGTCTGGGCCTCCTGCTGGGCCTGCTGGTGGGCGTGCAACGCCGTGGTGAGGGTGTGCATCGGCGGCAGGTCGCCCTCCTGCGGGGACCGCTGGGCGGCCACCGAGTACGGCGACAACGGGGCGTAAGGGGAGAACAGGGAGGCGGGCATTAGCTGCAGGATCTGGCCGTCGCTAGTGGTGATCTGGTGGTGGTTGCCCGCCGGATAGCCCGCCGCTCCGGATCCGGCCGAGGTGGCCTCCGAGGTCGGGTTGCCGCCACTACCAATAATAGTGTGATAGCTCATTGTGGGGTCCAGCGGCTGCAGCTGCTGGTAGCATGGCGGCGGCGGCGGCATGATGGGCATGTGCATGGTGGGCGGCATGGGCATGGTGCTGGTGATGTGCGGCGGCGGCGGCTGCAGCGGCAGCGGCAGCAGCTGCGGCGCTGTGGTGGTGGTGGTGAGCGGCTGCTGCGGCATGGGCATGCCCATGGTGGGCGGCGGCGGCTGCTGCAGCGGCGGTGGGGAGCTGCTGGTGGGTGAACTGCTGCTGTGCGGCATATTGTCCCCCTGCGCCAGGATTAGCGCCTGCTGCTGCTGATCCAGTTGGTGAAGCTCCCGATGCTGATGCTGCTGTTGCTCCTCCTGCTGCTCCGGATGGTGTTGATGATGCGGGGGGAGCGGGAGCGGGAGCACCGCCTGGTGGTAGTGGGACACCAGCTGCGCTGGCTGCAGCGGCTGCATAGTGTCCTGCATACTGGTGGTGGTGGTAGTAGCTAGCGGCGTGGTGCTGGTGCTGCTGCACTGCAGCATACTGGGCATGCTGGGCGGCATGAGCGTGTGCATGGGCATGGGCATATCCAAAGCCAGCATGTTGTAGTCCATTGCCATATGCGGCAGCATTCCCATAGGCGGCAGCAGCTGCGGCGGCGGGGTGGTGCGCGAGAAATCCGTTACCTGCGGCTCCTGTTGGTAGATAGTAAGGGGCGAGTTGCTGCTGCTGCTGGGCGTGCTGGGATTGGTGTTGCAGCTGTTGCTGTTGCTGCTGCTGCTGTTGATGTTGCTGCTGCTGTTGATGGGCGTGCTGCTGTGGTATTGCCGCGCCGCCAGCAGATAGGCCTGCTGCTCCGCCACTGCCGCCGCCTGCTGCTGATGCTGCAGGTGATCTTCCTCCGGATCCGCCTGATGATCCGCCAGCTCCTGCTCCTCCTCCGCCTCCTCCGTGGCCATTGAGCTGTTGCTGTTGCTGCTGCGACTGTGGGTGGCCAAGTGGGTGTGGGTGTGGGTGAGGGAGTGCATGTGGGTGTGGGTGTGGGTGTGGTTGCTGTCCTCCATTAGCTCGCTCTTTATAGCTGCCGCCATTGCTGTTGTTGTTGTTTGTGGGGGTGGTGGTGGTGTTGCTGTTATTGTTGGTGGTACTCGGGTTGTTGTTGTTGTTATTATTGGCGGAGTGGTTGTTGTTTCGTTCAGCAGGCCCCTCATTTGGGAGGACGGCATTTGGGTGGTGTTGTTGTTGTTGTTGTTGTGTGGGGCGGAGGGACCTGCTAGCCCGTTTGGGTGACCGTTCAAAACGGAGTTGTTGTTGTTATGAAGATGATGCTGCTGCTGTTGCTGCATCTGCAACTGCTGCTGCTGCTGCTGCTGGTTGTTGGAAGCGTGCTGTGGTGAAGCGTTTGTCGTTGATTGCACTTGTTGCTGCATGTAGCCGCCGTACCCGTTGGCGACGCCGTTGCCGTTGGCATAGCCGTTGGAGTGGTGGAGGTGCTGCTGCTGCTGGGTGGTGGGCGAGGGCGAGGCCGAGTACTGGGACATGGCAGCGCCGCCCGCCGCTCCCACCCCGCCTCCTCCTCCATAATCGGGTGGACTTCTGGGCGGTTCTGGTGGTGGCACGTTCGCCGGCGGTGGTGGTGGCGGCACCTGTTGCTGCTGATTGCCACCCGAGGCGGCCGCTGCGGCGGCGGCAGCAGCAGCCGCAGCTGCTGCAGCGGTGCCGCGTCGACTCGGCTTCGTCACCGGGTCCCGCGAGGGATGGTGGTGCGCCGATATGGGCAGCGTGGCTGGGTCCGGCTGACCGCTCGACTTCACGGCGTTCTTGTGCAGCGTCGTGTTGTAGTGGCGCTTGAGGTGGCCCGAGCTGGTGAACCACTTGTTGCAGGCCGTGCAGTTGTAGGTCTTGGGGCGACGCGCCTCGTTCGACTTCCATGTTGCCGCCTTGGCGGTCAGGCTGTTGGCCGGCAGCACCGAGCTGGAGCTGGGCGGCTCGAAGCCGCGGTATCCGCCGCCCGGTGGCCCGGCGCCCGTGCCGCTCTCCTGGCCCGGGCCGCCCGTGGTGGTGCTGGGGAACTCGGCCGGGCTGGTGGCCACACTGCCGCACAACTCGCTGGCGCCGCCACCCGCTGCCGTCGGGTCGAAGGACTTGTCCACGTAGTGTTGCGAGTCCGGGTACTCGGACTTGATCATGGCGTGGGCGCCGTATTCCTGCTTGATGGCCGTCTGGTGGTATGGCGACTGCTTCGGCGAGTAGTACGGGGACTTGTCCACGCCCACACCCAGGCCCAGGCCGACGCCCAGGCCCTGCTGCATGTAGGGCGGCAGGCCCTCCACCGTCTGCTGCGGCTGCTGCTGCTCCCAACTGTGTAGCGCCCGCTGCTGCATGGACTGCATCGAGTGCAGCGGGTCGGGGAGCGCGCCCAGCGGCAGGCCGGCGATGGCCTCGTGTTGCTGTTGTTGCTGCTGCTGCTGCAGCAGTTGCTGGTGGTAGACCATCTTCTGGGAGTCTAGGTCTAGCAGCTCGCCAGGATTGGCCGCGGAGGTGCCTCCGTTCGGGGGCTGCGGGGTGGGCATCTCCTCCTTGATGTACGGGGAGCTGGCGTAGCCACTGCTGCCGTACGGCGACTCGCCGTGGACGTTGGCAATGTGCTCCTGCAGCTCGGACTCGTTGGTGGTCAGGATGCCGCACTTCTTGCACTGCAACTTACAGCCACCGCCGCCGGCGCCTCCTGGGGATCCGGGCGTCTGGCCGCTGCCGCTGCCCAGCTGCAGGTGGGAGGAGGTCGAAGTGGGACTGCTGCTGCTCACCACCCGCGGGCTCATCGCCGCCGTGGTGGTGCTCACGGCACTCGGCGCACTCACCGCGTCCTCGGACGTGGCGCTGGCCGCCGCTGGCATGCCCAGGCCCGATGTCGGGGTCTGCAGGTACGGGTGGTAGCGCACTCCGGCCGTGCCCTTGCCGTAGTCGGCCACGCCGCCCAGGCCTACGCCGAAGGCGTAGTCGGAGCCCTGCTGCTGTTGCTGCTGCTGCTGGTAGAACTGCTCGTAGCTGTTGATGTAGCTGCTGGCGTATCCTTGTTGCTGGTGCTGCATCTCGCCGCCGTAAAGGCCGCCGTAGAGTTGCTGCTGCTGCTGTTGCACCTGCTGTTGCTGCTGCTGCTGTCCGGCCGCGGAGGAGTACATGTGGTGTGTGGCGTAGGGCTGGTGGGTGATGCCCGAGGCCTGTTGTTGCTGCTGGGGATCTGCGCCCATTCCCTGGGCTTGTTGCTGCTGCTGCGTCTGCTGCTGCTGTTGCGTCTGTTGCTGCTGCTGCGGAGGCTGCGGCGTGCCGGGCTGATTGTCGCTGGAATCGGCCGCGGCGCTGATCGTGGCGTTGGGCGTGGCGGGCGGACTGCCACCCACAACGGAGCCAGGACCGCCGGCGCCCGCTGCACCGCCTCCTACCGCTCCTCCTCCTCCTCCGCCTGCTCCACCGCCGCTGTCACTGCTGGCGGCGGCAAGCGCCTCTGCCGCGTGCAGTGGCGGCATTTCAGTTTTCATGCTCGCCATTTACCGCTACATAAGTGGCTACCGCTGCTGAGTGGCTGCTGCTGCTGCTGTCGCTGCTACTGCTGCTACTTGCGCTCTCTGTGCTGCTGCTGCTGCTTCTCATTGCTCTCCGGGATCAGTGGCGCATCCTCCTCCGGTGGTTTCTGTTCCTGGTTGTTCGTTGGCTTTCCAGCCGATCGTTGGGTTTGATTTGGTTTTGGGTTGATTTTTTGTTATTTTTGTTTCTTTTTTTTATTTTGTTTTTGTTTTTGTATTTGTATTTGTACTGCAAGTAGTCAAATATTTATTTACATTTATTAGATTTGGAAGATTGGAAGATTCTTCAATAAAAAAAAAAATATATATATATTTGTATATTTCAGACACACGCACACAGACACACTGAAGCAATGTTTTCGCTAACGGTTCTTGGTACTCTCTTCGTGTTGCACTTTGTACTAGTTCGTGTTGCAAGGTCTGCCTTGGTATAGTTTTGGCTTTTCTTTGTTTTCGGAGGACACACAAACTCACTGCCAGAGACACACTTGAAAAAAATATATGTACGAATGGCCGAGATCCTCGAGGAGATCCGTTTCGGTTTTCATTTTTCTTTTGCTTACTTATCTGCGCCTTCGCTTTCGTCAGCTCTTCGCTGGACTGCGCTGCTCGGCTCTGCTGCGATGTTCTCGTCGCCTCCTTGTCGCTGTCGCTGCCGCTGATTCGTTCGCCTCGATCTTCTGCTGCTTCTTCTTCCTCTTAACCGAAACTCACAAAATATCAGCGTACGAGTTCCAACAAAAAATAATTTGTAAAAAAAAAACAAAAGACGTGCCAAAAAAGAAAACTAAAGGAATCGAAACTGATCGCTATGTGGCCCACTGTGCTTTGCAATTTTGAATTTTGAATTTTGTTTGCGAGCCGGCGACTGGACTGACTGACGCGACTCTCTTCTTTCTCCGTCTCCTTTGTTCGCCCGCTTCGCCGGTGAGTGCTTGTTCTCGTGCTCGATAATGAAGCTGACGCCAAAGCCGAAGCCGATGCTGATGATGATGATGATGAATGCTTCTCTTCACTCCGAGATCACTTGGATTTCTTATATCGTTTTTGTATTATTATTTCTATTAAACCGTGGATCGAACAGAAAAAAATTGTTTACGAACACAACATACAATAACATTAAATAACTTTGTTTCTGATTTTCTTTTCTTTTTCGTTTTTGTTTTTCGTCCGAAAGAGTTAGTTTAATTTTTGTTTTTTGCCGAAATGTGTGTTTTGCCAAAATGCGTGTTTGCCGTTGGATTGTGTGGGGAAATAAAACAAAAAAGGGCGCTAAAAGCTAAATAGCCGCTCCACTCCGTTCGCACGCTTCGTCGCTTGTTCGCCCGAGTCCTTCTTTCTGCTACGGCGTTCCAAATACAAATGACCGACGTGCCAAGCTGGGCTTTCTGAAAACCTTTCGTCTCGTGACGGTCGCTGGTTCGGCGAAACCCCGAAGCGGCCCGATTCTGCCACAGACGAATCACGAACCTTTTTCCTTACGCACACACACACTTGCGCACGAGCGCAGAACGCCGCCGGCACGGCGGCAGAGGCAGCACGAGTGCCAGAAAGGGAGGGAACAAGCGCGGCTTGCGTCGACAGGCGGCGTCGCGTCGTCCTCTCTCGCAAAGCGGCCTGCTTGATCGATTACTGTTTATCGGCCGTGCCAGTGCTATCGATAACGTGTTGTGGGTGGATTTTCAGCTTGAGTGCAAGCGAGAAGGGTACTGCTTTTGCCGGCTGGGTGGCTGTTATCGTTCTGTTATGTGCCTCGACTGGCTGTTAGTTTGCATAGCGCTCCCCGCTCTCTGCTTGCGCTCTCCCAAAGCGCCGGCAGAGGCTCAGCGTCGCAGCCGGCTCTACCGTCCCTTGTGTGTGTGTCCTATGTACAGCGGCCTTATGTGCCGCTGCTGCTGCCTCTGCTACAGCCGTCGTTTTTGTCTCTGTCTGTCGCTGCTGCGGCTGCATTTGATTTTTCTTTTACTGTGCCTTTGCATTGTATTTGCCTGACTTTGATTTTGTATTTTTTCCTGTGCGCTTTTTTTATCTGGTTTAAAAAAATAAATATTTAATTGAATTTGTTTATGGCACGGAGTCTTATTTTATAAAAGTTCTCCGTTACTGAAAATTAAGTATTTTTTTTAAAGAACAAAACATGCTTTTTGTTTAAAATTGCTGATTTAAAACTAAAAATGTATGGAATAATCTATAAATATATTGTACTAATATATTAATATGATTTACAATGTGATTAACAATCAGCGATAAACAATTTTAAATTTGAATAAAATGGGAGAATTCTTAAATATCTTGTTCATATGTATTTGTATAAAAAGGATAATACTTTTGATTTGTTACTACCTTAACATCGCGGTAAAGAAAATCGAATTTAATGGAATTTTATAGAATTATACCTTAAAAGATGTTATTTTTTCGAGTATTTAAGCTTAGTAAATCAGTAAGTTAAAAAATTTTAGGGAAAAATAGAGTAAAAAGGGAACAAGTGTAAAAAATCAGTTTTTGAATTTTATGAAAAACTATTATTTTTATATTTTCATCTTAAAAATATGATCTTAAATGGGTATAGTTAAATACTCCATTTTAAAATGAATGTCAAAGATCTATTTTAGTTCCAAGAAACATTTTTATAAAAGATAATATAATAATAATAGTGTTGATAGTGTTTATACATATGTTTATATAGTTTGTAGTGTTTTATTTATGTTTTTAGTGGTTAGTGGATACATACAGCAATTGTTATTGGTTAATGGTTAAGTTATAGTTTTTTAATAGTGTTTTTGATAATAATTTATTAAATCTTTTTAATCTCCAAAGATCTTCAAAGAAACCTTGGAGGAGCCCTATTTCTGGACCTCATCGAGTCGATAGTGATTCAGCCCTCGATCAGCTACTAAGAATGCTTTTGGAAGAATACAAAAAACTTTTAAATACTATCCCCAATTTGGCAGCTGTGTTGCAACTTGCCACCAACTAGCTGTGTTATTTTTGCTTACAATTTTGATGATAGTCAGAGCGGCTCAATTAGTAGTGGGCTTAGTCAGTGTAGCCAGCCCCCTGACTCACCAGTTCGAGCCCGGTCGAAGACGATTTGCACTACTAGCCTAGTTTTGGAGCCGGGTCTCGGCGATTACCGGCGTCACAGGTCTCGTAAAAGTTGTCAACGTTTAAAGAAAAAAGGAAAAATTAATAAAGTCAAGTTTTATGGCCACGGGACGGGACGGTCAACGACGACAAAGAGCCAACTAAAAATAGCCGCGGGAAGGGTTCAGTTTGGGCCTTAGTGTGGCTGTGGCTCTACGTTTTGTTGTTTTTATTTTTCTGATGTTTTGTTTTTCTTTTTCCGCCAGGTCTGGGATTCAAACCCGGCCGAGAATGGCCCAAAAGTATTTAAAAATCTCGTAAGCCAAAAGCGAGGGCTAATGGAGCCCAGAGATACATCGCATCCACACGAACGGACGAAGAGCACACACAGATACGCCCGCCCTGGGCTGGTGTGTGTGCGGGGCCTTGAGGAAGAAGAGTTGTGTGGAGTAGTGGAGAGCCGCAGCCAGACAAAGACAGCCGGCCAGGCGAGTGCGAGTGCGAGTGAGCGAGACAGGGAGGGACGGAGCTCTCGAAATTTACATACATGATTGTCATAAAAAATCAGCAAGCAAATTGTCAAATCCCTAAACTGACAATAAAACAATAAAGAAAACGAAGACTCGGGCGACGACAACGACAACGGCAACGAAAGTGGGTAAGTGGAAGCCGGCCGGAAAAGAAGGGGCCAGAAACGAAAAAGGCAGAGACCAGAGGGGCCTTTGCCAAAACTCGCCTTCCGAAAGATACAGTGGAAACAGCTTCCCTAAAGGATCAACTATTTTAAAAAATGTGGAAATCTTTAATGGGCTATTCTAGACACTCTACAGGCATGATTTTAAGCTACTTTCGGAAAAATTTGGTTTTGAATTTAACTACAAATTAAATAAACTTAAGATCTATGTATATTCTATATAGTAGGATTATATTTGCTTGATCTTTAATAAAATTAGTTTATGAAACAATATGATATGTATACCATCCATTCCATGATTCTATTTATTTTAAAAATCTTGTAATATATTTAGCTATCTAAATCAATTTATTATCCTTTTTCCATCGGGGGTTCTAGTCTAAATAGGTTCAAAATTGACACATTTTTTTATTTAATTCTGTATTTTTTTTTGCTGTACGCTGTATGCTGTATGCTTATTTATTTTGCTGTAAAAAATGGCAGTGTTAAAAAACATATCAATTTAGCCAAAAAAATATAGAAACGGAAAACTCAAAAACAAAGACCTATGGGGCTTTTAAAAAAACAACTCGCCTTCTGAAAGATTGGATACAGCTTCCTTAAAGATCAATTATTTTAATAATTTTTGAATCTTCAAAAGGGTATTATAGTTAAGTCTCTAAAGACATCCATTTTAGGACAAGATATAATAGAAATTTCGAATTCAACTATGTACATATTATAATTTACTAAGATGTACTGATGTTCTATATAGTGACATATCAGCATGATCCTCAATAAAAGTATTTTTTCGAACACATAAAACTAGAGATATTACTTAAATGTATTTGAATCGTAAAACTTCGGTTTATTCCTTGTCCTTTTTAACGAATCTTGGCTTTATTAAAAAAGTGGGTTGTAGCCCCAATAGGTAAAAAATTGATTTTTATATAAAAATATAATAATAAAAATACATTTTTAATGTACTTTAATTTTTAAAACCCGTCAGAATTATTCATAAAACCAATAAAATCTTGGTAAACTTTTAGCCAGACTCCACTGTACCCAACAAATGGTTAGCATATGCCGCAAGAAAAGTAGGGCGACAAAAATAAGCAAGGAGGGGCAAGAAACTACGGAAGAACAAAGAGCTTTGTTGCAACAGCTGATGCAACCGCGGCAGCAATTGGTGTTGCATACAGGTAAGGGCTGTAAAAGGACGTTACCAGAACGAAGCCCTATGCTTTTTTAAAACCTCTTTTAAGATTTATCTATAGAGATTTCTTGGAAATTCATAAAGTTCAGTTTGTGGCTCAAAGCTTGCCGAATTAGGGGATTAGCGATGAGAGGGATTAGCTGATTAGGTGCTGTTTATGGCGCATTTATGGTCAGTGCAACTGTTCTTGCTGCAGGTAGCGGCAGAGACTGTGGCAGCGGCAGCGGCC